GGACGGATGAACATAATGATAGACCAAATTATGGATAGATAGAGTGATATAAGAGTTAGATGATAAGACGAACGTATGAATGAACCTCTCTCACCTTGAGTACTTTCCTTATCCCATTCTTCTAATATTTTACATGGATTAGTTTTGGTAGAGGCCTTGATGATTGTCCCATTTGAAAGAAGTGTAAAAAGAAGATCTGAAAAATGAATTYCTTGCTCAGTAAAGCCATACTTCATTAGAAGTAAAAAGACTCAAAATTAGAGTCTACAAAGGCCTAAATCTAATCCAACCGAAAGCCAAATTTTTTCGTCCTGCTATAGAAACCTCTATACATAATTTACTCGTACTTCAAGTCATGAGTTTGAAAAATAAAATCAATAAAAACAACTTACTCTCAGCTGCAGCGCAAACAACATCAGTGATGGTGTTCATCCCAGGCACAAGCAAAGATGTTACACATGCTCCTGAACCAGGAGATATGAGACGCACAGTAGCATCGCTGCAGGTGCACACCATRCGTACTGGGTACTATTAAAAATAAATGAAAGAAAAAATTGATGCTAACATGATGACTGGTACTAAGCATTGGATTGATCAATATGAGACWAGTCAATGTGAATGGCATAAGCTGTATTAGGCCTATTGATGATTAACATGCTAAATGATAAATAATTGTACCCAACTAAGTATACTCTCTGATGGTGTGTCTTATCATCAATATATCATAGCATAGAGGCCATAAAAGCATAATATCAAGACGGCCATTTCATGATATTTACCTGTGGATGTGTAGTTGGTTTCATGGACTTCACYTTACTCCCAACAGTCGTATAAACACTATGAACATGGCTTATCTTCCACAAGTCAAGACTTTTACAGGTAAAAGAATAAAGATCATCCTTGCYGACAATTGTCCCCAGACCCAATACAGGGCTGTCTGTCTGTATTCTGTCCACCTCATCTGCTGTATCAAGACTCCAGACCCTTATGGTGTTGTCGCTTGATCCTGACATAATATAGGGACCAAATGGGTAGACGGCTAAGGTGTTGACGGACTTCAGGTGGCCAATGAATATCATCTGGATGTTGCCTTTATTGTTCCAGAGTTTGATGGACCCATCTCTAGCAGCGGTTACAAGATACTAAAAACATACAATAATATTTTAATAATATTTCAATATTATTGTTAAAAAACATTCAAACTTTAGCCATATGTGATGGTTCCAGGAATCAAATCTGAGACACTAATATCTGAGACCCCAATAATTAACATTATAACATAGGCACAATATAACACGTGCTCTGATTGGTTAATTAGCATGCAAGAGCGTGGATCCAAAAATTGATGGTGCACRCTGAAGTCAGTTGAGTAGCACACTCTAAGTAATGAAGATTTTTTTAGAAAAAATAATTGAGCATTGGTCTGAGACCCCAATAATTAACAATATTCAGTATTTATACTAGGCAACTAAGTCTGAGCTTAGCTAGAAAGGGGATCTGGGCGAGCACCCTGAGACCACTCCATAAATCAGTCACTAGCCATCCCTTCCTTAACTCCCACCCCCCCCCCCCCCTGCCTCTATGTTCCCTGCCACTCTTTCTGTTGTTATTTTCTGATGTTATATATAAATATCTTGCATTATTTTAGATCGTATTGTACCTTAAGAGGATTGAAGAACAACAGTGCAGTGATCTCTCTGGAGTGTAGATCCTTGTAATGTGCTAGACACTTTCCTTCAAGCAATGAATGTACAATAACATTGGTGTCATATGCAGCAAAACATTTTTGAGTCCTGCTCTGGGTCTCCTCCAAGCAGATTTGAGTTACTTTACTWTCTTTTAGCAAACCATCCTAAAAAAATTCATTTTATTAGCACATATTAAATCTGTACTGTAAATATTTACCAGTAAATAGTGATTTTCATGTAGCATGCTGGCTGGTTTAATGATTGATGGAAGTTAAATCAATGGATTGATGGGTGGATGAATAGATGGATGGATAAAGGAATGAATGGATGAATGAATAAAAGGGAAATCGAAGGATGGAAGGAAGGAAAGAAAGAAGAAAGGAAGGAAGGAAAAAGGAAGGGATAGAGGGAGGGAGGGAGGAAGGAGGGAGGAAGGAGGGATGGATGGATAGATAGATACATGCATGCATGAATGGCTAAATGAGAGGGTGAATGCAAATATTCAGTGAGTGGCTGAGTGAGAGACAGTGAGTGAATGAGCACAGTCATAACCATTGAAATCATCATGACTATTGTAATAATAAAGGGCCAGTTTCTTTTTATGTTCATAATACTTACAGTAATAGCTTTTCTTTGCAGTAGATATTTGGCTCCATATCTAAAGCTCCAGCACTAATGAGTATAATAATAAATAAAATTTAAAAATTATTGATAAAAATCAATTGTAAAAATTTACAAAGTTTTAATTCCCTCTAACATGTAATCAAGAGAGACAAACCTACCGTTATATGCCCTGTTCCTCCAGTGATAATCTCATTGGTTGCCTCATTAAAAACCCCACTGAAATGGAAACATGATTATATTAAATATTAATATTAATCAACATTATACTTTCATCCCCTTTCGTAAAAATATGTGAGATACAGTGGTACCATCATGAGCCTAAACTTTATATGATAACCAAAAAATCCTTACCAAAAAATTCTGCTTAAYGTTGAAGTTGTGCTAAGAAGTTTAAAACTCTCTGACATGAGCTGTGGGGAAAAAAACAATAGAGTTGAGTGTCTAATAATAACATCATCAAGATCTGATTGGCTAAGATGGTTTCAGCATTATCATGTGGAGCAGGAGGTGAGAAGAATGTGGTATCTCAAATCATTTATTTATTTATTCACTCATAGGTGTGATAAATGGCCAATGCAAATAATTTATTTATTTTRAAAACCTTCAAATTTTTGTTTTGTTTTTTGATATTTTGAATGCAAGCTAGTGCTGTACAATAGGACATAGGGTGGCCTTCAAGGAGAATAATTGCACTAATTTTTAGACTCTCTTACATGTAAAATCCCAATACCCATCCCACAATTAACCCATTCAAAAATTATTAGTAAAGGCCAAACACTGAAAAACCAAACTCCCATTAAAATTTTAAACAAAAAATTGCACCATGACAGCTACAGTAGCTAGTCTATATGATATATTTCAGTAAAGAAAATAATAATAGTCAAAGGCATATCATGTGGTCTGTAACAAGAAAACCATGTCTGACCATGGTTGAACTTATGACCAGTAAAGACACCATAGTAGAGCACTTACTTGTATATTYTCATCTTGTCCCCATCCCACATATTGTCTAGTCTTGGTAGCATACACTAATCCACAAAGTGGTACATTCAAGTACTTATTTACATGTTTCTGAATTCCAGATTGTAAATATGTAGTAATACGTCCTTCAGGGCTGATACCAGCGTACTGAGAATTCGAAGTGTYGTAAACTACAACTTCAAAACCATAATCAGAGGTAATCTTAGAGAYCTTGTGTACTCCATGTCCAACTGTACGAGAAGCTTTCTTGTCAACTTTAGCCGGATCTTCTCCAGTTCCCTTCACAACGGAATCACGAATAAGCTTCCAGTGTGAGCTAACTTTCCCTATATTCTCTTCATTAGGAGGCTTAGTTCTTTTTTCAATCATTTCCATTAGTTTGCTAGCCATCGTGAAAGATTTTCAGAAGAATTCCACTATATATATGAACGTAAATATTGAGTRCACCAAGCACTGAACTTTCAGTAACTTCTCAAACTTTTGAAATTCTCAAAGAATATTCCCATATTTTTAGCTTGTGATGATACCTAAGGCTCTATAGTTGCTATGCGGATAGATCCTAGACTATATCATCTTGCGTGTAGACACAATTATGGAATAATTCTTCTAAAAGTACAAATAATAAAGACAATGTTCTGTAGTCTCAACATGGCGCCCATTGGCGTTGTTATGGTAACTTCAACAAACTGATAAACCGTGGAGCCTCGAGCAGGCGAACAAATCCCGAGGGTGTCCGGAAATATTCCGAAATATATTCGTGGCATATCCGGATGCTCAGACGCATGCGTCACGACACCAAAGTAGTTGATATTCCAAGTATGACGAGACTGAGATGTTGAAGGTGTTTTCAAAACACTTCATGGCAAGCTTTCCGGTTCAAGAACAACCATTATTCCTTTTCTAAAGATGAAGAAGTCTTGGCAGGGGATTTTGGCGCTTTGTTTCGTGATATTTTTAAGAAGTTCGGCCACAGACGATGGAAACAACGTCCCTACAAGTTCGCCTACAGTTGCTCCGAMCACCCGAAACAACTCGTCACAGACGTAAGCAAACGTCTTAAATTTATTTGTCATTTTATTATATGGTGGGTAATCATATTTTCTTTATTTCTTAAACAAAGGAATGTGACTACCCCTTCGGTAAATATAACTACTACTCCTCTACCAACGAAGCCACCGTCTACGGAACCTCCAGAGGAGAAAGTTGAGCCACCTGAGGTTGAACAGCACAGTTCATTGACGATATTTTTTATTCTTCTTGTCATTGGTAAGCATTTTTATTAATTCCCATATTTTGACTGAAGTGAAATAATTCCTTGAGACTGACGTACTAAATCTTTTTTCAAAGAATAACCTGTTTAGCAAATTTTACTTGCACAAAATTGAATAAGAGTTGATGACGAGAAAATAAAGTGGAAAACACCTTATAGAAGTTTACTGTCACTTTTACTATTTTTGACGCAATAAAATACTCAGATTTTTTTTTTTTTTTAATTCTTTAATTTTAACTTAATTGTCTGATTTAAACTCAAAATGTCTTAAAATTTCTCAATCAATCGTTGAGCATTTAGAAACGCTTATTATTACTTCCACAAATATAGAATTTCGGACCTGCTTCTAAATTAGAAAATATAGTATGTGATTCAAAAATTGCTAACCWGAAATTTTTAGCAAATGATAACATTTTTGGTAAACTGGAATACTCTTTTTTTATTCCCAAATTATATTGATAATAGACTAAAATTAAAGATAGTAGCAATAATAAAAATGTTTTGTTATTATGTATTGTAATGCTAATGAGAGAGTTAAAAATTTTTGTAGAAGTAATTTTAGAAATATTTTTTTTAAATGGTACAGTTTTAATTCATCTCTACACRCACCTGTGGATTATATTATTTGCACTGTTCTCAAGCTGTCTGCCTTGAATTTGTCTGCAATATATTGCTATTACATTTTATATTTGTTTAAGCATGATCAATAATACAATATTCCAGGGTTTGATAAAATTGGCTGTATAGAAATAGAATGGTTTGAGCAKTTATATATTGATAGGTGATATTTAAAAAAATAGTGTGGTTTTAATTCATCTCTGAAATTAATATATTATTTGCAGGGGTTTCAAGCTGTCTGCCTTAAATTTGTCCCCAATATATTGCTATTATATTGCTAATATATTGCTATTGTATATGTCTAAGCAAGATCAATACATATATAATATTCAAACATTTCAATAATAAAGTTACTTAAAAATACTTAAGCTTTCATCACTTTCTGCTTTTTTGATTATTTTTGATTGACGGCAGCAAAAAGAAACATTTCAGAGTGTAGCTTGCAACTACCGAGTTCGCAGAATATGGAAAATGGAAGTAACAGTGTAACAGTTTCAGTATTACCAAGGTTTTATTAGCTTTGATGAAGCATTTTGCAATGAAGAGGGAAACATATCATTTAACTTTGTAACAAGGCGTATAAGTACTGATAGATCTGTTTATGACATATTATGTAAAATCAAATTTKATCCCTTTTTGAAAATTTTCACATTTTCATTCTAATTAATTATGAATATTTACAAGTTGAATAAAAAGTGAAAATGAAAAGTCTCTAATTGAATGAAAAATATTCTTTTGGGCCCGTGACTTAGTAATAAAAAGAATAACAAGAACTTTGGATATCATTGCATGGTATACTGTATAGAGGTTATCAGTTGGCTAAGCATCTGATACGGCTGTGTATTTTTATGAGTCACGGAGTATTTTAGTGAGACTTTAGGCGAGCCAAAATACAAGTGACAAGTAAAAATGAAAAGCTGTATCAGATGCTTAGCCAACTGATAAGCTGTTTATCATTTAATTCTGCAAAGAAATGCTCAAACTCTCTCTAAACCCTATTGTACCCAGCGCGAGCAGATGAGAAGGTGCTGATACGGTCTCATATCAGGCATATGGTCTTTTTCCGTATCACGCAGGTTCTTTGCAGAATTAAATGACAAGGCTCTCTTATTGAAGTTTTTAATGATTAATTATACACTATATTTACTATAAAATGTKTATTTTGTTTAAAACTTACAGAATATATTTTCATAAAAATATCTTTTTAAAACTGTTTTGATTTCAAATTCTTCAACCCGGAAGTCATTGATATGGTGAATGATTATTCTTTTATTAGTAGTTTTTCCTGGTTTTTCCTCAAATATTTGGCTGAATAATACATAGCAGTCAACCCATAAAATCCAATATATTCCTGGTTCCCTTTATTACTGGCATTATTATTTATATTTCTCAGGATATCAAAAGGATTTCTAAATTTTGATCTAATCTTATTTTTGATATTATAGCATTATGCATCCTCGTCATCCATTTCTTAATCAAGACAAAGTTCCATTATTTACCAGAGAGTGTTGCAGTGGTTTTCTTAGGTAAGATATGTTTTTTTCCTTGCTAGCCTATATCCTCCTTTCMTTTTTTTAAYAAATTGAGTTTMTACACTGAAATGGAATATGGCRAACAGGRCTTAAAATAATGGCCGATCAGTCRGCTSTCATGATCAYGTTATASGTYRYATGTATTTCTGACTAAATATTACTGGTCAAAATGAACAGCAAGGCAACGATTTGACCCCAGTCCCAGTTCAGATGTCAGATGTCCAGCTGTTATTTTAAGCCCTGGCGACCAATTTGAAWWACTGTTGTTCTGCACAGACTAGCGACTGACTAGCTTCGGGTTCAGATTGAAACACAAAAGCATTTTCACGTTTAGGGAAGCTAGTCAGTTCAGAACAATAGTATTCRAAATGGTCACAATATTTTGATTCAGAGTTATACTTTTCAAAAATTGACAAGGAAACAAAATGAACTTCATATTAATATTCGATTTTGAAATGTTGCTGTTTCTAGGTGCATTGATAGGGCTTGTTATAAAGGCCTTGCAGCATTTTGCATTAGGGGATTGGCAGGTATGTATCAAATGTTCTGTTGAATGTAGCTGTTATCTGGTGCTTCTCTGCTGGCTGGGATATTCTTAGAACCTCTTTACAGGATGTCAAGGGAAGGGGTTACCAATTTAGTAGGCAGTCATTTGTACTCTCCTATTGGACCTATGTATCYTACCATTGACCATTTGTCCCCTCCCATTTGCCATTTGTCAATTCCCATTGTCTTTGTCTTCTTTATGCCATTCCTACTTGTCCCATATCATTGAYCATTTTCTATTTTCATTGCCCCTTTTTATAAATAATAACCAATTTAATTGCATTATAGTGTGAAAGRWGATATAAGAGGTTAAAACCTATTGAGAATATCTCCTAAGATCAAATCTGAATTTAGAAATTGATTTTTGTGGAGRGAGGAAAACCTAAAAACCTGAAGAAAAACCCTCRAAGCAAGGGATAGAAWAAACAACAAACTAAACTCATACATGGGATTGAGACTGGGAATCAAACCTGTGCTGCGGTATTGAGCAGCGAATGTTTTCACTGCTATGCCATCCATGCTACCTTTTATCCCATCCCATTGCCACTCTTTCCCATCCTATTATTTCTTTGTCCTATTCCATTGTCCCTAGTCTCATCCCATTGGACATTTTTCCATTCTGATTTGCCATTTAGTTATAACACTGTATCCCTTTGGCCCTTTGTAATGCCAAGCTAACCCACTATGCTGTAAGAAACTCAATTAGTTCAATTAAAGGTAGAAGGTAGAAAGGATATTATAACTTGATGTGCAAATAAACTGTACACCTTATACACACCCCCAAAAAAATTTGTTCCTACACTGTCTTTGTTTRTTTCAGAGAGAGGAGCATTTCAACCCTACTGCATTCTTCTTAATTTTACTTCCTCCTATTATATTTGAGTCTGGTTACTCATTACACAAGGTATAGCTGTAATGGCGTTTATAAAAAATAATGAACAATTGATTCATGAAATACCCATATTTACAAAACCAACATATTATCAGTTTTCTGTTTCAATTATTTTGCATTTYCTTTCTCAGTTATTGATTTTTTTATTGTTCACATTTAGCAGATGTGYTGAACAGTGTTTTTTTCCTGTTTCCACAATCTCATTGTTCACATTTACCAGTACTGAATGTATCAAATGTATTAAATGTATCACAAGTTGAAAGCTTTTTTGAATCATTTTCATTTCTTTTCAAAATAAATTCTACCCAACATGAGCATCTTTCAGTTAAGGGCAAGCACTACCCTTAAAACAATATCATCCTATCAAAATCAACCTGAAATTAAGTAAGGAGGAAAGAAATATTTCAACATTATCAGCCTTTAAAAAA